ATTTTACAAATAATATTGTACAAGTGGCATGATTGTTTAAATTATGTCAACACTCAATTAATTTAATTGATAAAAAGTCTGAATATCCTAACGTTTTATAAAGAAAATTTATTTAACATTTATGTGAAAAGTGTGTCAAAACTTAGCCCTTGTTTGACATATGTGAAAATTTTAATACATTTTTCTCTCTTTTTTCAACCACACATCCTACAATAAAATAATATTACACGTAAATAAAAAAAATTCCTTGCTTTTTAACCACACATTCTTCCATAAAATACTATTTCATAATATATTTTACCAAAACTTATCTTTATAATGGGTGGTGACACAAGGGAATAAATTGATAGAGATTTAATTAAAAGATTGGTCATTAATCTTACCCCTATGTTACAATTTGCTCACTAAATAAAGTAAAAGTTACTCATTGCTCAATCATTTATTCAATTGGTTAATCATCCATCACATGAGTGAAAGCCTACTCCCATTTGAAGAAAATTGCAATGTGTCCAACGAAAATTAGACATGGCACATTGATGAGCTTAAATGGTTGAGTTAATTAAATGAATTCTCCATAAACTTATTCATATGTTACTAATTACTTGCTCACTCATAGATTCAAACTGTTACCCATCCATTACCGGAGTAAAATACGTCGGCCCATAAGTAACTTATTTTTTGAAATATGGAATATATATCTGAAATTATGGATACCGATATTTTGGATTGTGGACAGTCATAGTATGTTATATGAGTATAAATATCCTAAGTTATACATATTAATATCTAACACTATGGATATATATACCATTACCATAACTTCTTAGGGTTATATACCAATACATGATTTTTATTTATGTTATCATATTTCCACATTTCCCATTTTACCAATTTATATTAAGTCAGTGTTTGTTTCTTCTTAATTTTGTTTCCGTGCAAAACAATATTATGCTGACAATCTTATTGTCCGTTACAATTTTTAAACTCTTATATTCTTAACAATTTATTGTAATTCTTTGTTCTATTTTTCTATACGTATTTATTGGGTTACACTGCAGCTGAAAATAAAGAGAACCGATTCCTCTTTCTTTCTTTCTGTCTTTTTTTTTTTTTCACTTATTCTCTATGGGCATTAATCAGGAAATAGATTTTGGTTTTTGTGGGCCAAGCCCAAATCTTCATTCCACAATTAGGTTGTAGATAGCCCAACAAAAGTACATGGTCGAAGCTAGAAATTTTATTCTTGCAAGCTCCAAATCCATGTGCAGTTTGAAAATTGAGAAAATTTAAAAAAATTTAATAAATTCTAGAAATTAGTTTAGAAATTTGAGCGAGTAAATGGTTACGTGCGGCACACACTGGTCTAGTGCTATTACTCGAGTTAGGTTTTCATTAATTATAAAGCCATGTCTACTTCAACTTCAGAAATAGTCAAAAAAGAAAAAGAAAAAAAAATTCCCACTTGGCCAAGTTCCAACTTAATAGATTGAGACATTGGCACTTGGCAATGATTTTTCCATTTTTTAGACTGGAAATTTACAAGTCAATACATGCTTTAACCCTCCATCATTGATTGGTCAACGCGTTGTTGCTTAATCACTTTCTAATTGTCGATTAGCATTTTCAAGTGACAACTTGACTATTGCGAGCCAATTAATTACCACAATCAGGGCTTCAAATGCGGGGCGAAACTCGGAAATGATACTTAGATAACTAATTTCAAAATGAGATAGGCTACAAAATATTTTTAATTAAACTAACATATAACTTTTTTATCCCACGCTGAGTTTTTGAGATTGGGTCGCCCTTGGATATAGTGGATTTGTCCCTTGGTATATATGTGCTCTAACCTATTTAGCATGACTTGATTGTTATGAGCTATTGCCTTCAAAACAAGTTCAAGAATATTCGATCATTGCTCTTATTGAGGGTTTCAACTCAACAATTTTAAGTGAATTCTAGCTTTTAAGTTCTAGCTCGGGATAGTAAGTTTTGGGAAAATTATGTTGTACCATTCTTTTTATCTTATAGAAACTGAAACATCATGTATATGTGATAATTTATGAAAAAACGGGTAGTAGTTATTTTGGATTCTAAAATCAGGAGATATTCTAAGGAGTTGCTACAGGGATCATTGGTTGCACAATTTGGTTTATTGGGTTCTTACCTTTAGATGAGCTAGCTTGCAAAAAAAAGAGTTCTTGGTTGGCAGACCCATAATTTGCATAGACAGGTGCTTCTTCAAGGTGAATTTGTAGGTCGGTTAAGATTGTACAATCCCTATTGCGCATGCCATTGTCGAACAATTATGCTACACAAACAAGCTAAAAAACGGGATTAAAAAACAAGGGGAACACGTGTCGACACAAGATTGAACAGTTTGAAAAATAAACAAAACAAACATCCAACCACATGCTGCCAAGTCAGTCTGTCTAACTTTTATCTGTCTTTGAACATGTTCAACCATCATTATTCATCGTTGAAATAGAAAATATTGTTAGTTGGTGACAATTTCTAAAACTATTAGGGGTAGATTTGAACATTGGAAGACCATCTTGGTTGACATTTATGTCCAATAGACAAAAGGATTAGAGAACATTGTGGCCTATTTGTTTCGGCTAGCGAATATCGACATTGTGTTCCAAACTCAAAATTTTTTTATCCCAAATTAATATCTTAATATTTATAATTTCTCCCAATTTTTTTCCCTTTAGAATATAAAATACTTATATTCCACACTCAACTTCTTCTTTATTTCCCTTTTTCGCATCTCTCCTCGTATTCTTGGTGAAATTCTTTCTTCCACAATTAGGTTGTAGATAGCCCAACAAAAGTACATGGTCGAAGCTAGAAATTTTATTCTTGCAAGCTCCAAATCCATGTGCTGTTTGAAAATTGAGAAAATTAAAAAAAATTAATAAATTCTAGAAATTAGTTTAGAAATTTGAGCGAGTAAATGGTTACGTGCGGCACACACTGGTCTAGTGCTATTACTCGAGTTAGGTTTTCATTAATTATAAAGCCATGACTACTTCAACTTCAGAAATAGTCAAAAAAGAAAAAGAAAAAAAAAATTCCCACTTGGCCGAGTTCCAACTTAATAGATTGAGACATTGGCACTTGGCAATGATTTTTCCAATTTTTTAGACTGGAAATTTACAAGTCAATACATGCTTTAACCCACCATCATTGATTGGTCGACGCGTTGTTGCTTAATCACTTTCTAATTGTCAATTAGCATTTTCAAGTGACAGCTTGACTATTGCGAGCCAATTAATTACCACATTCTGGGCTTCAAATGCGGGGCGAAACTCGGAAATGATACTTACATAACTAATTTCAAAATGAGATAGGCTATAAAATATTTTGAATTAAACTAACATATAGTTATCCCACACTAAGTTTTTGAGATTAGGTCGCCCTTGAATATAGTGGATTCGTCCCTTGGTAAATATGTGCTCTAACCTATTTAGCATGACTTGATTGTTATGAGCTATTGCCTTCAAAACAAGTTCAAGAATATTTGATCATTGCTCTTATTAAGGGTTTCAACTCAATAATTTTAAGTGAATTCTAGCTTTTAAGTTCTAGCTCGGGATAGTAAATTTTTCCAAAATTATGTTGTACCATTCTTTTTATCTTATAGAAACTGAAACATCATGTATATGTGATAATTTATGAAAAAACAGGTAGTAGTTATTTTGGATTCTAAAATCAGGAGATATTCTAAGGAGTTGCTACAAGGATCATTGGTTGCACAGTTTGGTTTATTGGGTTCTTATCTTTAGATGAGCTAGCTTGCAAAAAAAGAGTTCGTGGTTGGCAGACCCATAATTTGCATAGACAGGTGCTCCTTCAAAGGTGAATTTGTAGGTCGGTTAAGATTGTACAATCCCTATTGCGCATGCCATTGTCGAACAATTATGCTACACAAACAAGCTAAAAAATAGGTTAAAAAATAAGGGAAACACTTGTCGACACAGAATTGAACAGTTTGAAAAATAAACAAAACAAACATCCAATCACATGCTATCAAATCAGTTTGTCTAACTTTTGCCTGTCGTTGAACCAGTTCAACCATCATTATTCATCGTCGAAATAGAAAATATTATTAGTTAGTGACAATTTCTAAAACTATTAGGGGTAGATTTGAACATTGAACGACCATCTGGGTTGACATTTATGTCCAATAGACAAAAGGATTAGAGAACATTGTGGCTCATTTGTTTCGGCTAGCGAATATCAATCCTGTGTTCCAAACTCAAAATTTTTTTATCCCAAATTAATTTCCTTAATATTTATAATTTCTCCCAATTTTTTTCCCTTTAGAATATAAAATACTTATATTCCATACTCAAGTTCTTCTTTATTTCCCTTTAGAAAATAAAATATTTATATTCCATACTCAAGTTCTTTATTGCCCTTTTTCGCATCTCTCCTCGTATTCTTGGTGAAATTCTTATCTTCCATGCACCAAAAACAAAGGGAGGAGCAAAGGAAAAATGGACTTAACATGAAGACAAAAAAGGAATTTTCGGCCCATCAACTCCAAATTATTGTTCCAAGGTTGAAATTTGATCAAGGAGAGAGAATTTTGATATGAAAACGTTCAAATTTGAGAATTAGTACTGTTTTAAACATAAGTATAAGAAATATTATTAAAGTTTAATTTAATACAATTTTTAATTCATTTAAAAAAAATCTTCATATGTGCTATATTTCTTTAAGGATTTAACGTGTTCATTTTTTAAAATAAAGTTTCGATAAGATTGCAATTTTTCGACTACACATTTCATAATTTGTTAACACTTTTTTTTTTTCATTATAGATTAATTATGAGTTGGAATTAAAATTGAATTCGCCATTTGGGCAAATATGAAGTCACTTCTGAAGTGCAGGCCTCCTTCCTCCTAACCTGTAACCGCGTAAAAGTTGGAGAGTCAATAAAGATTTCTTTTCCATAATTTTCTTCCCCCTATAAATTCCTTTTCCTCCTTTTAGTATTCACGACATTTTTCTTTCCTCTGCATATGTCACAAAGGCCAAACACTCCCCACTTTTCCTCTATAGCTTTTGGCCTCCATTCCAATTTCTTGGTCTCCAGTGAACTGAACTCTAATACCAATTGGTCTTCTTGATTCTTGTTCTAGTTTCCTATTTTTCATTCTTTAAAGAAGAATTGATCAAATTCTTCAAATTTTTTGTTAAATCGACATGGGTTTTAAGGGATTTTTTGAAGGAGGAATTGCTTCCATTGTTGCAGGATGCAGTACACATCCTCTTGATCTGATTAAGGTCCGAATGCAACTCCAGGGTGAAGCTCCGGCGCCGCCGCAGACAGCTTTTCAGACTCTTCGCCCTGCTTTGGCTTTTCACACCACCACCGGCCATGTCCATCCCCATATGGGCCACATCAGCCTCCCTCCACCTCCACCACCACGAGTGGGGCTTGTGTCGGTTGGTATGAAAATTATTCAGCAAGACGGTGTTGCCGCTCTGTTCTCCGGCGTCTCCGCCACCGTCCTCCGCCAGTCACTCTACTCCACCACCAGAATGGGCCTCTACGAAATTCTCAAACAAAAATGGACGGACCCCAATTCCAAAAATATGCCGCTAATGAAAAAAATCTCGGCGGGTCTCATAGCCGGCGGTGTTGGCGCCGCAGTGGGGAACCCAGCCGACGTAGCTATGGTCAGAATGCAAGCCGACGGCCGGCTCCCTCTTGCGCAGCGCCGCAACTACAAAAGCGTGTTGGACGCCATATCCCAAATGGCTAAGAACGAAGGCGTGGCTAGCCTTTGGCGCGGCTCATCTCTCACCGTAAACCGCGCCATGCTTGTCACAGCTTCGCAGCTGGCTTCTTACGATCAATTCAAAGAAATTATACTCGAAAAGGGATTAATGAAAGATGGACTGGGAACACATATCACCGCCAGTTTCGCCGCAGGGTTCGTGGCGGCGGTGGCGTCGAATCCGGTGGACGTAATAAAGACTAGAGTAATGAACATGAAGGTGGAGCCAGGGATGGTCCCACCATACAGTGGGGCCATTGATTGTGCAATGAAAACTATTAGAGCAGAGGGACCCACTTCCCTTTATAAGGGGTTTATTCCTACAATTTCAAGGCAAGGTCCATTTACGGTGGTGCTCTTTGTCACACTGGAACAAGTCCGAAAATTGCTCAAAGAATTTTGATTATTATGATGATGACGACGAAGAATTAAAAGAATATTTGTTTATAGTAATTGATTTCGATTTTGAAATAGGAGTTACACTATATGTAATTTTTTATATTTCATACTTATACTAATTAATGGATTTATATTCTTTTGTTGCACTTAATATTTTTATGATTGTTCCTTAACTAATCATGAATATCTAAGAACAAAAGACGATGGATGTCCTCGTTCTTGCCTGACTTTAATTCTAGTAAAGACAAATTATGTAAGGTTTATGATCTAAAGTGTCTCAAAAACGAAGGGAGATGGTCTAGTATACAAGTTTCAGCGAGTAGTAACTATGAGTTAGACATCTCTTAATTCGTTCAATCTTGACCCATAATTGTCATCAATGGGATATGTTCTTAATGTGGTAAGGGAATTTAATTGTAGTGTCTTGTGAGTAGATGAATGGTGGTTCAAAGTAGTTGATACATGGTAGGGCCACATGATTATGAGAAAGGGCCCTAACTCATGAATAATGAGACATTGTACTTTATTCAGAATGTTTGTAATTGTCAATGTTGAATCGCTAACTTCGTTGCATAAATTCCTCGATTAAGTGCTTGTTTGATATAATTGTGCTATCAACTTTTCAACTAGTTAAACTTCAATTGTAAATATATATTTAATGAGATTCACGATTTTTATTAACTTTTTAATCACATATTTATTAATTTTTTTAAAAATTTGCTAAAAATTAAATCGAAACTTGAAGTATATAATAGATATGGACCATGGCGCATTGTAGAAGTAGCTCAAATTTATCTCCAAATACTATTGAGTCTCGTTTCTTGGACTTCAAATCTACCGCCACATGCGTAACTAAATATGTGGTTGTCAAATGTCAAAAAAAAAAAAAAAAAGCGTATTATCTTAGTGTTATGCCAATGGTTCTTGTTGGACATTTGGTGGGAAATAGCGTGTGGTTGGCACACGTATAATTCCAATACTATTCACTCTTGGAACATTTTGCGTGTGGACCTTTTCTCGTTGTCCTCTTAATACTTTAATTGATATCACAAGGTTTTGGGGCCCAAAAGGGACCTTAAGTCCTAAGGTTCAATAGGAACAACCTGCACCGGACACGTGGTAGATGATAGAATAACTAAGTGAATTTGATTTTCAATTTTCTAGTTTTTTCTACTTGGGTTTTATATTTTAAATATTGAACAGTTATTTTTCATTGAAATGGATGAATAGGTGGGCAAAGGAGAGAAAAAGAGTGATGTGCATAATCATTTGGGTTCGAGGTGTGATAACATATATGGTTCGTGATTTAAAGAATCATGATTTGAGTGGACAGTCTGCTACGTGTTTATATAAAATAATTGAAGTATTTCTCTTAATTAAGGTGACTAAAGCAAGAATGTTCTGTTCTTCGAACCAACTTATGACCCCAAAAACCAAGAAATCTGCAATGCTTTTACCATACTAAGCCCTTTTTGGCCAGAGTCTCCCGGACATGAAAGGCGGCACTCAATGTCCACTCTTTATTTTCATATTTGACCAATGAATCTGTGTCTGTTGTTACTTTCGCCAAGTAAACTTGCTCAACCGATGGGCAACCAACGTCCATGTGTTTGTACTCCTTTCAAAGGAGAGGCATGTCGGGTTGGATTTTAAAACAATGGTGGCAAGTAAGATGATATGTCAATCATCGTAGCCCTTATTAAGCTCTACAATCATCATAAATTTGCTTTTCTTCAAGTAATAAAAAATCTTATTTGAATTGGGTTGATTAAGATTTTAGCTTTGTCTCTAAATTTAGAAAGCTAACCTCTTTTTCTATTCTTAATTTACAATAATTGCATTTAATTAATTATATATTTTAATACTATACTTCTTAAACTATTCAAATTGGATTTAAATTGGTAGGTGAATTGACATACGAAAAAGTATGTATATAAAATATAAAGAGAAATAAATAAATATTTTTTGAGAAAATTAAGCAAAATGAAGAGCCAAAATAGTGAGATTGTTGAAGTATATAATTGTTGTCAATGGGATGTGTTCTTAATGTGGGAAGGAATCTTATTGTAGTGTCTTGGAGTAGTTGAATTGTGGTTCAAAGTAGTTGATATGTGGTATGGCCACACTATTATGATAAAGTGCCGTAACTCATGAACAATGGGACATCATACTTTATTCAAAATATTGATAATTATCGACATTGGCGGACCCACATTGGGCCACTAGCTTTAGAGGTTTTTATTTTTTTAATAGACTCCAAAATCACGAAGAAAAAAGAGAATCATTCCATTACCAAAGAACAATTGAAATGATTGTTTTTAGAGGAAATTTCATTGGGTGTCAAAATTTGAGTATGAATTATCAAAAATGTCATCTTTTAAATTGTCTATCAAAAATATCAATGTAGGACAATTTTGCCCGTCTGAATCATTACAATACCTTTTGTGTCCTTGTACCAAAACTGAGTAATTGTCAGATGAAATGACAATTAGTGTTGGAAACCAAACCCAAAAAAAATAAATAAAAAAAAAACCAAACAAATTACACATGAAATAAAAACAAAGGAAGGGAGAGAAACCCTCGAACAAAAAATCCCCAATCTCACTCGTCTCTCTCACTACAATCGACCATCGGCCGACGAAATTGGAAGTTTTGTTGCAATCGCCCATCGTCGAAGACCATCGACAGAACCTTCGACGGCAAAGGTCCTATAGGATTCTTCAGGTTTGGTGTTTTCTTTAAAAAAAAAAAAAAAAAAGAGAAAGAAACAAAAAAAAACATAAAAAAAAAACCAAACAAATTACATATGAAATAAAAACAAAGGAAGGAAGAGAAACCCTCGAACAAAAAATCCCCAATCTCACTCGTCTCTCTCACTGCAATTGACCATCGGTCGACCGTCGGCAAAATTGAAAGTTTTGCTACAATCGCCCGCTGGCCCATCGTCAAAGACCACCGATAGAACCTTCGGTCTTATACAATTCTTCAGGTTTGGTGTTTTGTTTCGATTTGGTCGTTGCCGTGTCAATTTCCATCTAGCGTTGTGTACTTAAGTTATTCATGTGATTATAAGATTCTTGTGAAGACAAGCCAAGGTTGGTTTGAACCCATTGGGACCATGTTTAAGTACCCTAGTGTTCCTCTTAACACGGTAGGGTCTCCTCGATCATAATTAGGGTCAATAGAATCAGATTTTCAGTGGCGACATGTAAAGATCATATCAATAATTAATCTAGATTGGGAACTAGAATTGATATTTATATATATATATTAGAAATGAACTAAAATCTTACAGTAAAATGGTTTTTGGATGAAAATTTTAAACTTTAAGCTTTTGCATTCTCTCAGTGATAAACTACATATTTGAATATGGAGTTTGTTTTGTTGTTACAATACTATTCTTTTCAACTGACAAAAAGTAGCCCCCGTTTGATGGCCATTATTTGGAGTTGGTTCTGTTGTTACGATACTATTATTTGCAACTGCCAAAAATAGCTCCATTTTGATGGCCATTATTCTGAGAAAATGGAGTTTTGATTAGTGATTGTTTGAATAACATATGGTTAAGTTGATTTTATGTGCAAAATATTGTATTGTGTAATTATATGGTTGAAATGAGTATGAGAATTACCGAGTGTTGAAATAACGGTTGGTAATTGGGGCTTAATTTGTGTAACTTCAAAATTGTCTGCCATCTTGTGCTTTTTAAATTTTGAGTAGTTCCACTAATGAATTTGTGAAAATCTAAGAGCCCCTCGGTATACTTTTAGGCACTTTATCTCATTTGAGGCCCAAAAAAAATTGTGATGCTTAAAGATTTTTGTTTGGAGGGACATTTTTCAAATGAAGAGGAAAGTGAGTTGGTTTGATTAGATACCCATTGTTTGCAATATGAAGCACGATAAAGGCTGTATGCTAAGTTCTTGTCAATTTACTCATGTCTATTCAGAAAGAAACTGAGGTATGAACAAATCATAGAAACCACTCTCTTGTGGCTTTAGTGCTCGCAAATTGTGGAGAATTAATAAATAGTATGGTTAGATGGAAAGAAACTTCCATTTTACCTGGTTAAAATTTAATTTTAACATTTTTTTTTGTATCTGCCCCCATTATTTGCACGTGGCAAACAACAATGCAACTTTTCATTCATTTCATTTCACAGTAGTCCTCATCTTTGAGTATGTGTTCATATCCTACAAGCAAATGTTTTGTATAACATGTTGACCGATTTCTGTAATGTCTTCCGGACCTTATTCATAATCTTTGATTTTTCCCCATCATTTTGTAATGAAATGTGGTCATACTTGACATCTAATGGCAGACATTGCTTTTTTGTAGAAATTTGTTGGCTTATCTATATCCGAAGGCTATATTGCAATTGGCTAGGAAACAACTTGTGAGCACGGAGAAGTGTACATTTTGGACAATGGACGAGAGGTTAAAAAGGCATCCTTCAGTTAAGATCTGATTGGTTAGATCTAAATATTTGGTTTTTCTTGACTTTAGTTTTAATTCTGTCATTACAATGAGATTCATGCTACTGAACTATCATTACAATGTGATTCATGGTACTGGCCTATCTTATGAAGATTGTTGCGATTTCATGTTTTTTCTATAGCATGTAGTCTTACATGTAAATTCTGGTGTAAAATCTTGAATAAAGTGGAGGTTAAAAGTTGAATCTTCCTTCTACGCCAAAGAAAGGACTTATCTCTAATTTTTGTTTATATGTAACGCTATTTCATAGCGAACTGTATTATAGCACATACCTTGCACGTGCGTCTCACTAGTTTTATTTAAAAATTCAAGTATTGAGTCTTATTTATTTATTTACATTTCATTAATCTGCAAAGTCATCACATTACATCCAACTTTTGTCAATGTTTTGATCTAGGCAACCTCTAAAATTCAGATTATGCGACTGTTTTGAGCAAATGAAATGAGAAATAATTTAAATGGAAGTCTGTTAATTTTGAAGGAATGCCATTTTAGTTGTGTGCATAACATAGGTTCTTTGTGCAATTCAAGTGAGGAAATTATTGATGGAAGTATTTACCTGGAGCATTCTTAAAACTCCAGTAAATGCTGTGTAACTTGTGGTGCATTTCTTGATAATTTATGGAAACAATCTTTTTATTAGACATCTGGTGCTAAGCATGCTAAGGTACACAATGCATTCCACTATAATTTTACTTGTGAAATGAAATATATTAAAACCACTTTTCTTATGATGCCTTTTATAGATAACATTTAGAATTGTACTCTAATATAGAACTTGTTGAATTATATTATACTTTATGAACTTGTGGAATTATATCAAACTTTGGGCAATTACCTATGAAAAAGATGTTATACTTCAGGCAATTGTTGTACAATTTGAAAAATACTTGGGAAGAAGTTTATATAATTTACACATCTGTTGAGAGGCCATTGTTTAGCTGGATTATTAACGGTATTGATTTGACGGGGGAAAATTTGTAAATAACTTTTTAGTTCGTGTTGATTTTTTTCCATAAATTGTCCTTGTTCAATTCCTTGTTTCTTTCAATAGCGTGCTTGCTACAAGTTTTTCGTTCTTACGTACAGGTAGTCCGATTTAATTGCTGACAACATTTATCCATTCCATATTAAAGCAATAGCACGCTCGCCGCCGTCCACCACTACCGTCACTATAAGCTTCTCTTTTTCTCCCTCCCGCTTAGTTTTCTAATTTTCATTTATTATTTCCTTCGATTTAATTTACAGTAATTTGCATTTCTCTTCAAGTGATGTGAATTTCATTCAATGTCCTTGTATGTCAATGTTGTTCGCCTGCACATGTAAGTTTAGCTAGCAGACCAAGTCCCAGCCAACTGTCGTACCCAAGGTTTCACCTCAGTTTTTCTCGACAGTTCACTGTTCTGGCACCTCATTTTCCTTCATTAAATTGCTATATATGTTACAATTGTTTATATTCATCCCGTAACCCCGTTTATATGAATATACCTTGCAAGCATGATGGAGTTCAAATTCCGTATTCCGGAAAGTGCAAGGTTGCAGGCGCACATTTCGTAACATAGCAACCTCAAGTACGTGAAGACTATCATGGACCATTTCGACGAGCGGCACCGGGAGGACATCCGCAACTCCTCTCTTGGGTATCTGGCCGACGTTTCGGACATTCAATTCTCTGTCCAACTCATCCAGCAACTAGTTTTCAGAACCATCCGCACCGATAAGCTGTATGAGCTATGGTTCAGCGTGCAAGGACATCTCATGAGATTGGATCTACAGGAGTATGCGCTTGTGACAGGGTTAAGATGCGGTGCATTCTCAGAGGGTGCTGAATCCAATCGAATGCTAGAGCTGAGGCGGTTGAAAGAGAGGTACTTCAAATCCAATGACAAGATTTCGTTGGCTCAACTGCAGTCTGCAATGGCTCGAAGTTCGACGCCTCGAGCTGATTGTTACAAGCTAGGGTTGGTTCTAATTCTCGAGAGAGTTTTCAATGCTCCAGATAATAATGTCGGTATCCATTTGCCTACATTATCAATCGTGGACGACCTGGACTTATTTTTTGCCTATCCTTGGGGTAGGGTTAGATATAGGCGACTGTTGCACGGATTTTGGGGTACTTGGGTAAAAAAATTTCAAAAGGCAAAGAGGAGGAAGGAGAAGGAGATTATGTACACAGTCCATGGCCTCCCCATTGCCATGCAGGTATGAACATTGGTTGCATTATTGTACCATGCCCGATTTTCATCTCCGGTAGCGTCGTTCGTAGAATATTATGAAACTGAATTTTTGGTTCTTCTTCCCACAGGTTTGGGCGTACGAGGTGCTTTCGAAGGTTGGGGAAACATTTTGTCGAGCGAGTAGGTGAACGACTGCCATGACTTCTTTGCTAGTCGACAAGGAAACAACCACAGTATCGTACATATGATGCATTTTTCAAGAATGTTAAGGTATACGTAGAATAGGATTACAAGTTCCATTTCGATCGTTTCGTTACAGTGTTGTGCCTTCTAATGTGAGTCCCATAACCTTATTTTGCAGCTCCACGTGTACACAACACTACGGCCCACCGATGCTGAGGCGCAACAACCCTATTTTTCGACTCTCGTGCCGTACGATGAACCCCGATTTCGATTTTGGATGACATTACAAGGACCGCTGTCGTGCCGCAGTTCAATGCATCGGGCGACGACGGTCATGATGGTGGACATGCGGCAAGGGAAGATTCCAAGGATGAGGCATCCAAAGGAGGAAGAAGTGAGGAGCAGACGTCCAGAGGCGATGACAAAAAAGGTGCGTCGGGCAGTGATCCAGACAATGAGGACACTGGCGAGTCTCATGGTGAGGGCTCCAGCGCCGGCGAGGACACCCATGAAGGAGCTAGGGGTACCTCTTCTTCACCTCGACCGCCGCAAGACCCTTCTCCAGACCGACGGAGCACAACGCAGGCAAGAGCCGTAGGAACATCTGCACCCGGCTTGAGCAGAGAGGACATGGAAGAGCTGCTCTTGGACCAAAGAATCCTATTTGAAATGCGACTCTGGACAGTGAAGCTCGAAATCCAACAGCACGTGACCTCCGAATGTACAAGTCTTCAAGAGTTCTTAGGTAGCCTCGTGGCCCGAGCTGGTCCGACTACCGCAGAACCTGCAACAAGGGCCGAGAAAGAGGTCGGCGTCTCAGGTTCTTTACCAGAAGGTATGCCTGTTACCTGCGTACAACTTTTGCTTTCCAATTTTAACTAACATTCGTCATTACTCATCATACCTCTGTCTGACATAGTATTGTCGTTGTTTCATACAACTTCGTAGACGTATATGGAGGACCCGCGAAGCCATGCCCGTATAAGTCGGACATCGCAATCGACACATGGAATATGCAAGGTATATAGATTTTTCATTTATACAATCTAAATGTATTACTTCATGTACTTTGCATGGTTTGAAATTTTCTCCACTTATTATAATGAAGCTGGTATAATGTTGTTTTCATCAGACGCAGTAGACATTGCACCAAGCCAGGACGATCTGAACCTGCCAGTGCCCGTTACAAGCAAAGAAGTGCAAGGTACTGTGTCCTTTACGAGGGTTTTTTTCAATTGTATTTAACGGCATGTACACTTACATACGTGTTGTACTGGTTAGATGCAGGAGCCACGGAGCCCTCGAATGACGCCGGGGACGACAATGAAGAGGCGGACGGTTGCGATACGACGGATGGCAATGGTAGGTTAACTGGCTCCATTACGCAGTTTTGATCACATGCAATTTTGGTAACTAACTTAGCCCATCTCAATTTTCTATAGGTGTTGTCACTAAAGTCACAGCTCTCAGGTCGGTACCCGAAGCACGAGCCGGAGTTCCTACAATGACACGATGCTCGGCATGGTTGCGATGACCAGCTGTTGCTAAGAGGACTCCATATACGGGGGGAGGGCGAAGAGAACCAAAAAGTAGTTGTTCTTAAGTGGCCGGAGAGCAGGACGATGGTTCTGAACTCCTTTTTGGGCGGTGACTGAATTGGTAGACGTTTTGTTGGGATGTTAACTTGCTGGATTTTGTATTGTTGACATGGTTTTTCTTTACCTTTACATTTTACGTACTATTGGGATACCGTGGCGATGCTTTCACGCATTCATCACATTTTACGTTGTTGGTGTTGAATGCCATGTGGATTTCAGGAAAATGCTGATAGTTTTAGGTACCAGTACAATATATGTTGAACTTATTTTTCGACTTTTATTACATGACTCTTCCAGGAAATTTAAAATTTCCGACGACGTTATCGTTCTGCATATTGTCTATGAACTATATTGTTCTTATGTGTTACATGTTTTCAGTGATTTTGCCTTATGTGTTCAGTGGTTATGCATGTATGTTGTACGTACGCCATTGTAGTGTTTTTTAGAATGTTGTTTCATTAGTTTGAGGATGGTGTACATATGCCATTATAGTGGGAATTGTGTCCTGAGGAGGTGATGTTAGGCAAATTTAAAAGTGATGCCATAGTAATGAATTCGCAATATTGTGGAGATCATTTGGCATGTCAGGTAGTTTGAATTTTGCCATATTCTGTGGTTATTTTTATTCGAGTTTCTTTCTTTCTCGAGAGGCCGCTTAACTTATAGTCTGTGAACAGGGTGGTTGCGATGGTGGTAGAATTGGGAGAGAACAAGCTAGACAATCTCATCTCATTTTTGCGCAGTGCTAAACGTCCCCGGATCCCAAGGTAGCTTAGCTGTTTAGTTTATCTATGATGTGTGAATGATGCATTATTGCCTGCGTGTGAGGATAGAATATCACAGACCTTTTCTTATTCTTGAAGCATGTCGAGAAAAATAATGTGAATGTATGCAAGGTAGGTTGGCTAGTGAAGTTCTGAGTTCATAAAATAATTGATATAAAATATTCTTTATAAGAACATACCCATATCCTACAATATGTCATCTGGACTTTGCGTTGATTTTATATATCTTCTATCGGAGTAATTTCGGGAAGAAATGTGGACAAATAATTGTCTACCTTTAAGGGTGAGAGATATTTTATTCATAGACATATTTATCTGCTTGTAATCTCTACAAATTATGAGAGACGGCACAATTGCAGATTCAGTGTAAGTTTACGATCACCCACAATTCGAAGATATGATTATTCGTATAACCTTTGGCATATTTGTAATTTAACGCATTAATTTTAACGTAGGTTGCAGAAATGAGAGCTCGTTCAGACGAAAGCCCGTTAGCCAAATGTCATAGTTGGTGCACGTACATGAGATGCAACGCACAGTGACAGCGTGAAATTTTATATTTTTTTGGGGTGTAAAATTTTCGTCTACTTCAAACAGTCGATGTCCTAAATTTGTTGGAACTGGACGTGTAGTTACCTATATTTGAAATGTTTAAAGGGAGAAGTATTTGTGTTGCAATGAAGCCCCTTGGCTCGCGTTAGGACGTCATATATCCGCTATAGTCGTAATTTATCATTTCGATTATCACGTGCGAGTGTGTTACTAATAGTCGTTAAATTTCAGAAGATGAGCCATTGACAATGTCGAAACCATGACAACCACAAGCTTCGAGCTAGAAAATGACTTTATATTCGTTTCATTATGTTTCATGCGTCGTCGACCATTTACGTTGACATCATGAGCCACATGGGTGAGACCATGTACCCTTTTGAACATGGTACAAGTAGCTAGAAATTAGTTTGACTATATTTTAGTTGCAGGATATCCCCATTGCTTAATAGTACACAAGATTTATGAGCTTTTAAGGTCCTGGTAATTATGGCAAAATGGGGATAAATGTACACTTAATTTATTGAACAATCACACCAATTGGTTTTCACATTGACAAGGAGATTGGACATGGTGGTTGGGAAGATGATGAACATAATTGCTCCCCATTCTTCTTGCTTATAAATACAATATGTGAGTTCATTGTATCCTAGAAACAACCTAGTTGAATACCATTCTTAGAATTATAAGTCCTCACACACTATTTGTTTCATCAATACTTGACAACATCGATATAATGAGTTCGTCCACAGGAAGCAACGAACCGTTCAACGTCAACGAGCCAGTACCA